GGTAGGTGTCAAAGCGTACCATCATATTAGAGTGTCCAACTAGCCAAGAGCTTTCATCATGATGTGGGAGTCTGCCAATCCTTGTTTTTAGTTTTTAAAATTTATTTGACTAATTTGAAAGGCAGACAGGCAGACACATACACAGAGAGAGAGGGCGTTGCCATCTACTGATTGACTCTCCAAATTCTTGCAACAGCTAAGGTTGGGCCAGGCCAAAGTCAGGAGCCAAGAACTCAATCTGGGTCTCCCATGTGAGTAGCAGGAACCCAACAATTTGATCCATAAGCAGCTGCCTCCATGGGTGTGCATTGGCAGGAAGCCGGCATCAAGAGCAGAGCCAGGATTCTATCTCAGGCACTCTGTCTGGTAGGGGATGCAGGTATCTCAAACTGTGTCTCAACCATTATGCCAAATGGCCATCCCACCAATGTCTTTTTTTTTAAGATTTATTTTTATTTATTTGAAAGAGTTACAGAGAGAGGTCAAGACAGAGAGAGGTCTTCCATCTGCTGGTTCATTCCCCAGATGCCGCAATGGCCAGAGCTGCACCATTCCAAAGCCAGGAGCCAGGTGCTTCCTCCTGGTCTCCCATGCGGGTGCAGGCACCCAAGCACTTGGGCCATCCTCCACTACCCTCCCGGGCCACAGCAGAGAGCTGGACTGGAAGAGGAGCAACTGGGACTAGAACTCGGCGCCCATATAGGATGCCGGCGTGAGGATTAACCAAGTGAGCCACGGCGCCGGCCCCCCTGACTCACTTTTCTACATGTGTGCATTGTGTAAGTCACATGATGTACCGGTGACTGTACAAAGACCCTGGTTTGAATTATCTTGTGTAATCCTCATCATGACCCTATGAGATGATACTATTTTTACCTCCATTTTATAGATGAGTAAACCAAGGCTCAGACAGGTTCTGTAATTTGCCCAAGGTCGCATAGTGACTAATCATGTTCACACTAATGAACATGAATCAAGTTAAATTTAGGGGCCTAGTGCTTGCTTCAGCAGCACATAAAGTAAAATTGGAATGATACAGAGAAAATTAGCACGGCCCCTGCACAGGATGACACGCAAATTCGTGAAGCGTTCCATATTTTTGTGAAAAACTACTTTTTTACATAAAAAATTGGGGGGCCTATTCATCTATTTTTTTTTCCAGTAGCCACTTATTGAATGTCCATTCTTTACCAGGCAGTGCGCTTAAACCAATCACGTGGTTTTTGTCTTCAGATACCTGAGAAAGGTAGATAAGTCTATTAGCTAATTGATTTGCCCCAATCCTCCAGTTAGAAAGTAGTACAAGATTACAATCGGGTTTATTTTAACAAATTGGCGACCGCTCTGGGGGCAAAGAAAGTTCAATGATTTGGTTTCTAGAGCTAGCCATTTTGATTAGTATTTTTTTTTCCATGAGAAGATGATTTTGGCACCCTAAGAATCAGTGTCCAATGGTTATGACCCCATGAACTGCATTTACAAATTCAAGTTCGGAAAGGCCTGTTCAAAATAATACATAGGAGACAGAAATTTAGCAGAGCAGTTAAGAGACCTGAGTCACACATAGGAGTGCCTGGCTTTGCTGCCTGCTTCCAGTTCCTGACTCCAGGTTCTTGTTGGTATGGACCCTCGGAGGCAGTCGTGATGGAGGTGGTTGGGTTCCTGCCAACCCATGCAGGAGAGCTGTACTGAGTTTCCAGCGCCCAGCTTCAGGCAGGTCCAGTCCCAGCCATTGGAGGAATTTCTTAGGGGCAGTTGGGGGAGGATGGGAGGGTGAACCAGCAAATGGGAGCTCTCTATTTGTCGCTCTGCCGCTCTGTCTCTTTTTTTGTCTGTCTCTCAAAGAGATTTAAAATGTAAATGAATAATTTCTTTTTAAAAAATAAAGAAAATAGTACATGCATTATTCAAAGGTAGACACTGCTGTACTGTAATCCAAGGGAGATGAGGGCAAGACAGGATACAGATTTGTAGTTTCACTTCCTTGAGTGGGAGGACTGACTGGTGGGAAAGAATTTTAGATCCACTAAGCAGCTTGATTAGAATGCTGAAAAGTGCGGCTTACCCATGAGCGAGCAATTGTTCAGAGACTCAGAGAAAAGGAGAAAGTTGTACATAAACAGAGAGTATGAGACAGATAATCATAACACAGAAATTGAGGAATGGGATCCTAATGGTAAAAAAAAAAAAAAAGAAACAAAAAAAATGAAAGGCTGCATGTTGAGACGTAACCAAGACCTTACCTGTTATGCAACACATTCCACAGGGCTGGCCAATTTCAACGTAGGCTATGGAGGACTGCAGGGAAGTGCCGCTCCCGGAGATGGGGGTGGAGAGCTGGAGCCATGTGAGTGCCTGATCTCCAGGGGCATAAATGCCAAAGGCTTTTGGAGCCTGTTGGCAACATTTACAGGACTGGACAAATCAGGGGGTTATTCATGTATACCAGGACTTGGTATGGGATCTTCCGGAGGGGAGGAAAAAGAAGGCTTTGATTTGAAACTTCGGGGGAGAAGGGCTATATATTCTCAGTGACTGCAGAAACACTGAAATATACAGACACATGGAATGCGGCAGTGTTGATAGGGAGGATTAAGTGCCGCAATGCAAAATAAGAATGAAAAATGAAGAAGCCAAAAGGAAATCTTGAGCTTCCTGAACTGTTTGCAAAGAAACTGGAGCCTACGACAGAATTTGGTCCTCGTGACTGAAATGCTTCTTTACTGTTGGAAAAAGTATTGCTGTCATCCCTCTCTCTTTAGAAATTCTTTTTTGTTGTTGTTGTTTCATAATAAAAAATCTCGTGGCAGTTCCTTGTCTGGAGGACTTTAAAAATAGGAGCGATTTCATCTGTCTGGAATGGTTTGTGTCAGCATTTGCTCCAGGCAAGGTTGCCACATAGGCAAAAACTACCCCCTTACCTGCCCCCTACCAAGAGCCCCCGCCCCCAGCCCCCAGTGCTCTCAGTGTCAGCACCCCCCGCCCCCCCGCAAGGGCTGAGTCCCTTTTCCTGGCCCTCTGTCTGATGGCATTGCCCACATCAAATCGAAGCTCGGGTTCCTCAGTATGGCAGCTCTCTCTCCAGGTGCTAGGGATGCAACAGATTTCACCCTTTGTGGCCGACTTGCCTTTAGAAATAGGACCCTGGTTAACCCCAATGAATCTTGAGTTGGTGCAGCTCTGGGGTGTGGAGAGACGTCCAGAGGCAGAGGGGTGTATTTTTGGTCAGTGGGGGGAGGGGGGCAGGGAGGCCGCCTTCCTGGAAGCTATTAAATCCCAGCTGTGGGCTCTGTTCCTGTGCTGCTGCTGCTGCCTTGAGGGAGAAGTGGGGGTGGGCGCTGGATGGACTCGCTGACCTCTCAAGGTTGCTGCGAATTCTGTGGGTCGGTGATTTCCAGCGACATTTGCCTGCACCCGGCCTCCTTTGCAGCGCGCTATAGGCACCGCGTGACTCCGCTCTAACTAGGGGCTTTCAGCAGCCTGTCTTTGTGCCTATCAGCCAGGGCCCAATTTTCCCATCACCTTCCTCCCTGGAACAGCAACCCTCAAGTTTTAGCCACAGTGACTGCTAGAGATCAGCTTCAGCCGGTCTCCGGGCAAAGAGATTTTCAAAGAGCTCTTCAAACTTCTTGTTCTCGGAGCCTCCCCCCCCCCCCCCATATGGTACCTTGTGGGCTTTATGAAGAAAAAAAAATAAGGTGGCCTTAGGTAAACAGAGCGCTGTGTGCAGATTCGGTGAGGCCACCTGAGAAAGACAGAAAGACAGACAGACAGACAGACAGACAGAAAGAAAGAAAGAAAGAAAGAGAGGAAGGAAGGAAGAAGGAAGGAAGGAAGGAAGGAAGGAAGGAAGGAAGGAAGGAAGGAAGGAAGGAAGGAAGGAAAGAGAAAGAGAGAGAGAGAAAGAGAGAGAGAAAGAGAGAGAGAAAGAGAGAGAGAAAGAAAAAGAAAGAGAGAAAGAAAGAGAGAGAGAGAAAGAGAGAAAGGGAGAAAGGGAAAAAGGGAGAAAGAGGAAGGGAGAAAGAGAGGAAGGGAGAAAGAAAGGAAAGGAGAAAGAAAAGAAAATGAAGAACGAACTCCTCTGATTCATTTGATCAGGTTCAACTTGGAGAAGCAAACATTCAGGAGCTGCTACTATGTGCCATGCTCTGAGTTAGACCTGGCGAACAATGGGGGAAAATAAAGCCAGATCTGGGCTGTGGAGGAATTCAGTTGCATGGGGAAGGTAGACGTCCAGTGTAATAAGAAGTGCCAGGGGTGAGGTAAGCCCGAGGGTGTCTGGGAGCACGGGAGACTGCCCTTGGCTTAACCTGCTGCTGACTGGCTGGGGAAAGCTCTCCTGGGGAGATGACATCCGAGCTGAGTAGCAGTAAGGCAACCCCAGACAGGTGGGAAGGGCGATCAGTAGAGAAGGAATGACAACAGCAGAAGCACCGAGGCATGAAACGACTTGCCAAGTGCGGGGAACTAGGAGCAGGCAGCGATTATTAGAGAGAAACGTGTCAGGAACGAGGGGTGAGAGATGAGGCTGGAGGGGCAGGCAGGGCCACATGAGCGAGGGAGAAGTTTTATCCTGAGGGGAGCCACTGCAGGCTTTTTAGCAGGGGAATAGTAGGGTCAGATTTACAGCTTGATTGAACTGACAATTCAGGCAAGATCATTCCAATCGCCTGTGGGATTGATGAAAGAATTCAATCAAAAGGAGGGTCAATTTGCTGCTGGAGTTAAATGCAAGGCTCTCTTCTGTCCAAAGAGTTGGTCATCAGTGTGAGGTTGTTTGGGGGGGATATCCCTAACGCAACTTCCAAATAGACGCGTGGATCCATCTTTAAAGCTCAACTTCATTCGGGAAGACAAGCTTCAAGGAACCTGGCGGGCGGAGTGGGGGTGGGGGTGGGGGCTTCAAGAGTGCCTTGTGGCTTCTCCCCTTTATTCCACACTGCAGCAATAGTATCAGGTGAAGAACACAAACTGTGCTGTGATGTCTGTGTTTCCTTTAGCAAAAATCTTCCGGAAAGGCACTGTTTAACCTCAGTTGCAGCCATCTCAACCTTGCTGAGAAGGAATATTTTGGATTAGAATTCTGCAGCCATTCTGGAAATAATGTAAGTCCATCTAACATTGCTTTTAAATGCAGTTTTCAGTGAAGTCAGTAGGGCTCTAACCTCGGATGGAATGGCACAAAATTATGTTCATCCTTGCAAAATTGTTGAATCTGGTACCTGTTTTCCCTTCTTCCCCCTTGTGGTGCTAAAGTCACTTCCATCCGTCAAACGCAAACTCTTTCACCCTTGAACTTGTTTTGTCCCTTTGTGATCAGCTACCAGGCTTTATCTATTTTGACTTTGCAGAGGCTGGACCTCAGCATCCAGAATTTGGACTCTGCCCTCAGCAGGGCGTATTCAGGGTGGGGGGGGGTGGCTCTCCTCTCCACTCTCTCAGGTCCTCATATTCACCCAGGTTCTGCCACTGTGTCCTGCCTTGGCCATCTGTAATCTGGCACCTGCCCAGAAAGGCTCATTAGGTCTATTAAGCTGGCGTTTGAGAACTGTAGCATTTAAACACAGAGCCAGATGCCTTCATTATTAGTCTTTGTAGCAACTAATGAGCCTTCTATGTGACACTTCCATTGTCCTACTGAGGCAGAGGTGCAGTGATTGAAATGTCAACAGAGCTTATAGATCAAAAATGTTCACTTGTCCTTAGGGAAAATTTAGGGGCAGACTGAATATGGTAAAGGTATGTCCTCTCTCTGACACTGCTATTTGTTTCTAAGTATCGTTAGATGTTGAAATAGTTCTGGTATTTATTTCTTTCATGCTAACCTTTATCTGTTACCACAAAGGAAAAGAAAGGCTTCACTCAAAACCATGTTCTAACAGTATTTTCATTAATGTTATTCCAGGTTTGGTTGGAACTTCTGAAGCCCATAACAAAGCAAGTAAAAAGTAAGTATGGAAAATAATTTAAGGAATATAGTTCGCAGTTCAAACTTGAAAAATACTTCAGCAGCACCACACAATTCCTCACCTTACTATAAGGGGACAAAGGAGCTTTGATACATTATTTCAATCCTTCATACGTCCAGTAAATGTAGCAATTTAGAAAATGGTTTAATTTTTGCCTGAGATGACAGAAATCATGCCCCTGGATCTTTGAGTAAATCTGAACAACCCTGATAATGACAGCACTCTGCAGATTGGCTCTGGGAATCTCTCTCACGCTCAGGCACTACAAATCTTCAAGCATCCTTAATGTCAATCCGCAATGCCGTCACCTTCTGCCTGAAGCTGCTTTAGTTTTATGTCATCACAAGCATTGTCCATTCGCCTCAGTTCGTACTTCAGCGCCTACTGTGTGTGAAATAGTTCCCCCTATATTTCACAACCCAGTGTGGTTGTTTTCAGATCTCAGTGTGCATTAGGATCACCTGGGTTTCTTGATAAAACGCACATTCCAGGGCCTTGTTCCTGGCTTGGGGGCTAGCAACCTGCTTATATTATAATACTCCACAGATGTTTCTGAAGCAGGTAAATTTATTTTTCTTTTTTTAAAAAGGTATTTATTTGAAAGGCAGAGTGGCAGAAAGACAGAAACACACAGAGCTCTTCCATCTGCTGATTCACTCCCCAAATGACTGCAGCAGCCAGGGCTGGCCCAGGCTGAAGCTAGGAGTCAGCAACTCCATGTAGGTCTCTCACATGAGTGGCACAGGTCCCAAGCAGTTAGGCCATCTTTGACTGCCTTCCCAGGCACATAAGCAGGAAGCTGGATTGGAAGTGGAGTAGAAGGGACTCCAAGCGGCCGCAGATATGGGATGCTTGTGTCCCATTTGTTGGCTTAACTCCTGTGCCACAATGTTGGCCCTGGGAGGCAGATTTCAATCAACACCTTGAGCAACACTGTCTCAGTGTCTCTTTTTCTGATTCCTCTAAATCTGGCCACTCTTCACATGTTGGTGCTTTCCACAATTTTGCTGTTCACACTGTGTAAGGATCATCTGTGACAGTATTCCAATAGCTTCCAACTTGATTCTCCCGGATCCATCATCTACACTATTGCCAGAGGGATCTATTGAAAACACAATCTGGGGTCGGTGCTGTGGCCCAGCGTGTAAAGCCACCACCTACTGTGCTGGCATCCCATATGGGCGCCGGTTCGAGTCCCGGCTGCTCCTCTTCCAATCCAGCTCTCTGCTATGGCCTGGGAAAGCAGTGGAAGATGGCCCAAGTCCTTGGGCCCCTGCACCCACATGGGAGACCCAGAAGAAATTCCTGTCTCCTGGCTGCGGATCATCCCAGTTCTGGCCGTTGCGGCCATTTATGAACCAGCAGATGGAAGACTTCTCTCTCTCTCTGCCTCTGCCTCTCTATGACTCTGCCTTTCAGATAAATAAATAAATCTTTAAAAAAAATAGAAAGCCCTGTCCATACTACTCTCCTGCTTAAAACGATTTCACAGCTCCCTAGTGTTCTGAGAGTGAAGCCCAGACTTATTAGCATGATACACAAGGCACTGGACTCTGAATAATTTTCTCGCCTCACCCTTGTCACTAACCATTTGATATTCCTACCTCTGCTGACTTCCACAAAACTAATCTCAGGTATAGGCTCCAAAGGTAACATGCAGGATGATTAATTAAATTGGAATCCCAGATAAACAAATGAAAAAGTTCATGGATTCATGGAAATGTTTATTATGAGAAAACTATGCGTGGACTTCAGAGAATTTTACGCCAAGATCAACCTTATCTTTTAATTCCTTTAAGGAATTGGTTGTAAAGATAAGGAGGTTGTTTATTTATTTATTTGAGAAGCAGAGAAACACAAAGCAAGGGAGATACAGACAGAATAGAGAAAGGCTCCCATGCACTGGTTTTTACCCACATGCCCACAACAGCCAGGGCTGGACTGGGCTGAACCCAAGAACTGGAAACTCCAAATCTGGGTCTTCCAGATGGGTGGTAGGAACCCAAGCTGCTTCCAATGATCTACATTAATAGGACGCTGGGCTCAGGAGTGGAGCTAGAAATCAAAACCAGGAACTCTGACACAGGGTGCAGGTGTCCCAGTGGCATCCTAACCACTGCCAAATGCCAGCCACAAGCACGTGTTTTCTTAGTGTGAACTTTAGATAGAAGCACCAGTGCACACTGCTTCTAGTTCCCTTGATGAAATCCTTAGGCTAGGTGATATTCACCAGCTCCAGCTGAATCTGCACTCCCCCCCCCCTTTTTTTTAACAGGCAGAGTGGACAGGGAGAGAGAGAGACAGAGAGAAAGGTCTTCCTTTGCCGTTGGTTCACTCTCCAATGGCTGCCGCAGCCGGCGCACTGCGCTGATCCGAAGGCAGGAGCCAGGTGCTTCTCCTGGTCTCCCATGGGGTGCAGGGCCCAAGGACTTGGGCCAACCTCCACTGCACTCCTGGGCCACAGCAGAGAGCTGGCCTGGAAGAGGGGCAACCGGGACAGAATCCGGTGCCCCGACCAGGACTAGAACCCGGTGTGCCGGCGTTGCAAGGCGGAGGATTAGCCTAGTGAGCCGCGGCGCCGGCCTGCACTCTCCCCTTTTAAAAGACAAGAATGCATAATCCTAAGTGGCAAGCGATATATTTTTCTGAATGGGACAATTTTAAAGAGAGGGCATAGTAGGCCTCAAAGGAGCACATCTTTACAAAACAAAACAAAACAAAACAAAACAAAAAAAAAACCTCAAAGGGAGGGAGGGGGAATAGGAAAGAAGGGTGAAAGGACTTACTGAATCTCTATCCACATAGACTCACTCCAGAAACAGTTTATACATGTGAAAAATGGAAATGTAAAAGTCTGTGGGAGGGAGAGATGATAAAGGGAGGGAAGAGGAGAGGGATGTGTGTGTAGACCTGTAACTGTTGTGATGGACATTTAAATAAAACTTATGGAGATGTTGTGTTTTAAGATCCTAAGGAGATTGTTTTCAAATTTATGGTGAAATTTTTCCCAGTGGACCCTGGACATCTGCGGGAAGAACTTACAAGGTATAGTACTTACCTGTGTGTCTGCTGCATGATGTTACTTAAGAATCATTATTTTCCACTTAGCTGGGATAGAGCTTCTGACCCTCTTTGCAAGGCTTGGCTTTAAGTCACTTTCTGGGAGATGGTGAAGAGCTGGAGAGAGGGAGGGCCCGGCTGGTCCCTAAGGTGTTGCTCTTCCTGAAGGCTGGGGACTGCAAGGAACAGGAGGGTGGTGTTCTCAACATGGGAACAAGCCTGAGTGACCACTTGGGTGGTTGTGCCATTAACTGCTATAACAATAAGTGTGCTCTCCTTCATGGCATCTGTGTTTCGACCAGGGGTAGCTTAATAGAATGGGTATGCCGGTTAATTTGAAGAGTCATTGACAAAGGAGTGTGTGTGTGTGTGTGTGTGTGTGTGTATCCCATAGGTAGAGGTGAAATATTCTGTAATGATGATAGATACTTAGGAAAAATGCCTTTCAGAATTACAATGTAAACCTAGTACTGCAAAAAATACATTGTCAATGTAAGAATCTCCAAAACTTTACTCTGCTTTCTAGACTGACACACTCCTACACATAGTAGGGGTCTAAGAGATAATCTAGTCCAGCCCTTTTGGTTTATAGATGAGGAAACAGATCTAGGGGATCCAACGTGATTTGGTCAATGTGGGCAGTTGTTCTCCCCAATGTCTTTTCCACAACATGGGTCGTGGCCAGCTCACCTTCACCTTCACCTTTTTCATAAGAGGGTCTTTTCTGAGAGGCTTCTGCAGAAGTCCCGTTTCTCTTTCTAATTTTTTCCACATTTGTGAGTTGTAGCCTACTTTGCCAGATAATTTGATATCTTGGTATCAGTTTGCATTTGCTAACTCATTTCAACTGAGTTTGAAATTGTGACCAATTTTGATGGAGATAAACTTTCTCAAAAAAAAGAGAATGAGAAAATCAATGTGATGATAAATGATTCATCAGCTGTTCAGGGCAATGATTTGGTATTTGTAGCACACAGCTGCCTTCTTAACGGCAAGGAACGTGTCAAATGACAAGAAGTTTCCTTTCTTCCTTGCTAGGAGCAAAATGAAATTCACTTTCCTTTTAGCAGCCGAAGTTGATTATGCTCATTCACATCTACATTTGAAAACAGGCAATGTCAAAGGTTAGGCTTTCTTTGTTTTTCTCCATTGGCTCATTTAAGGATTCTTTATTATAGTTGAATGTACAAGGATGCCTGCTTTGGGGCTAATACATGAGTTATTGAGAGCGGTATGCAAATATAATTTTTCTAATTGCATCACTACTAATGCATTAGGGAAGCTCACAATTTGAAGGATTATAATAATGAATGCTTTTGCAAGCTGAATAATCACCTTGCTTATTTACCTGTTTTTTTTTTCAATCTGGATTTTCATCTATTCCCTGTAATTAATTTTAGTTCATCACATTGCCTTCAAGGCTTAATTGGTTAAAGAAATATTCCACATAGAACTTCATTTAGAAAATCGCATTATATGAATTTTCAATAAATTCATGGAAAATGCATATTATGGAAAAATTGCATCTATTTAAAATATTTTTGCCTCCCAAAGAAGCATTTTTAATAACGTTTTGGAAAGCCTTCTGTATGTAGGAAAATGCCTGCAATAGAGATTCCATAAATGTTACAAAGTATAAATTAAAATGCTGGAAAAAAAATTTTGGACCATGTTAGAAAACAATCTGTGGTGGAGTGTTTGTTGTATACATTTTCCCACAACAGTTGACTTTCTTTTGATTTCTAAAGTATGGGACAAATGCAATCTGTCTGGCAGAGCCCTGGAAACCAACTTGTATTTTCTAGGTCTCTGATGAGCTGTATGTGGGAAAAAGGGCAACCTGCCTTAATGCCACTCAGCAAGCATGAATTACATACCTATTCTGTGTAAAGTGCTGATCTGGGCTCTGGTGATGGAGAGATAGTGGTACAGGCAGGAGGAGCAGTATGGGCAGAAAGCATGGCCTCAAGTCCGTGATTTCGGAAACACAATCTTTGTTTTGGGAGGCAGACTGGATTCAGTGCCATAGCTCTTTGGGTCATGTGACCTTATCAAAAATTCCTAACTCCTGTCTTTTCTTTAAAGTTTCCCCCTTATTTATTTATTCAAGGGAGGGGAGGGAGAGAGAGAAAGAGAGAGAATAGGAATGAATTTCCATCTGCTGGTTCACTCCCGAAATGCCTTCAACGGTGAGGGCTGGGTTGGAGCCAAGACTGGGAGCTGAGAACTGAATTTCGTGTCTCCCACATGGACGTCTCAGCCCAATTACTTGAGCCATCATTGTTGCCACATAGAGTCTGCATTAGCAGGAAGCTGGAGTCAGGAGCCTGAGCCAGGTATTGAACCCAGGTACTCCAATATGGGGCACAGGTGTCTTAACTAGCGTCTTCATGACAAAGCTAAAGGCCTGTCCTTTTTCCTAATTGTACAATGTGGTGATCTTTCCTGTCCCACCAAACTCCTAAGTTGTAGGCATAGTGAGTGCTTGGCGACACTTTGTGAACAGTGCAGTACTGGCTTCCCAAGTGTCCTTATTCTTGTTGGATCTCCTTTTCTCTCTAGCTAGGGATGTGCCTTTGCTTTGGGGCAGAAACCACCAGAGACTGATTATCTAACTCCCTCAAGTTGTCGAGAGCATTTGGACCAGGGTTATTCCTAATGGCTGTGAAAACTGCCAGAGTGCTGGATCAGCCCAGTTGTGGTCTGGGGTTGGTTTGGAGCTGAAGCAAAGCCTGTATTACTATTCACTACCCTCAAAAGGCATCTGACTTACTGGGGGTGCACTTCCTGTCTTGAATCATTTCGGAACGGAGAGAAGGGAACTGCTTCTTTCTCATTCCTGTTTCTTTTCTCAAGAGATTTCCCTCCAACTTCTTTGCAGGTATCTTTTTACTCTGCAAATAAAGAAGGATTTGGCTCTAGGAAGGCTTCCATGCAGTGACAAGTGTACAGCGTTGATGGTATCTCACATCTTACAATGTAAGTAGCAAATGTCTGCTTCGGGACCTCTCAGCCAGGGAGAGAACCAAGCAAAGGAGCTGCGCACCCTCAGCATGCCTGTCATTGTGTTAGGTCCTCCAGAGGAGAGAAAACATGGATTAGATTGAGAGAAACAGCACGGTCCAGTAGAAAGAGGCTGCTTCATTGTAGTCACTTGTATTTGAATTCAAGTCCAAGTTCTACCACCTCCTGACTATTGTAGGGTGAAGTTCCCCTCATTTCTCTGAGACTGAGTTTCCTGTCTTTCAAATAGTGACGAGAATACCTTCTGTGCAGACAGTGTAGATGAAAAGCTAACAGTGATTTTCTTTTATCTCTGTCCAACCTTTCTGTCCTACTGCCCCTGGGCTTGCTGTGCAGGATCTGGTTTTGATAAATCTGGGCATAGATTTTGCCAGGCAAACCCCGCTCTCTCTGCTTGCCCCAGGATATATCTCTGGTAATGCTTTCTGTGTGGCACATTGTCACGTTCCATGTGATTTCTGTTTTGTGCTTTATCATGGTTTCAGAGAACAAAGGCCAGAGTGCAGCAGGTGGAGAGACACTAAGAGGGAAAAAGGCCTGAGGCATCTAGCAGAGTTCCCTATATTCTAACAGCCAAGTAGCTGGACTAGGCTTAAGAATACAGGTAGAAGGAGCCCTGGGGAACAGCAAGAGCTTGCCTGGGAGGAGGTGATCCTGAGCTGAGCAGGCTGCTCTTGCAGCCATAAGGACAGGGACTAGGCAGCTGGAGATGGTATTTCTTGTTCTAGGGCCAGCTATACTTTCTCCCTCCTCTAGAGAGGCCTCCCAAGAATAAGCAATTCCTAACTAGTGCTGCAGAATGATAACTTTGTTTTTGTCTGTTTGTTTGTTTGTTTCATCCATTCATTTTTGACCTAAGTCCCTTACCTTCCTGATAGTTTAGAAATGGTAGATGTCAGATTTCACTGGGAACTCCACAGTGGAGCACTGAACGAATATTTACCAAGAAACTACTGACAGGGACAGGAGATGGGGACCCTTAGATCTCATAAAGACAGTGAGAAGTAGCAAAAATAGTAATCAGAGAAGGCTGATTGAGGAGGTGGCCTTGGCGCTGGGATTTAAAGGGAGTTGGATAAGTAGTGATAGAGAAAACAGCATGAGAACAGTGGTCGGACAAGAAGCAGCACTAATAGAGATTGAAGAATGACCCAGTACAGGTCAAGCATAGGGTCTGTTTAGGAGAAGTGGTGGAAAATGAAGCATTGTTTTGGACGGTCTTGAATGCCAAGGATGCTAGCCGTATGTCCAGTATTGTACTTGGCACTGGGATTGAGGGCATGGCCTAGAGAGGAGAAAGAAAAGAATGCTGGAAGACATCCTTCTGCACTAGCTGCCTGGGAGAACAGCAGGCATGAGTTGGAGCTCCTGCACAGCCTCTTTTGGGGGAGCTCAATTTCATTCTTAACAGTTCTGCCTTATGGGTTTGGGCATTCCCTAGTGGCCATTTCAGGCATAGCACAGAGCACTTGCTTTTCCAGAGGCTGTTTTGGTTTGTCAATAGAAGCGCTTTCGGGGGGGGGGGGGGGTAAATTTGCAGTGAGATAGCTTGTCAGAATTGCTTTCAGTCAGACTGTATCACTGAACACAACCAGACCGCCCACCTGTTCATTCGTTCATTCATTCATTCATTCATCCAATATTTGTGGGATGCCTGCTATATTCTAGACATTGAAGAACCTCCACGTGTGACGATTTGCCTGCTTAATTCTATTTTACACACCTCTCTGCTCTAGCCAAACAGTTCTTCCTAAACATGATTTGTATATTTCAAATGAAGCCTCCTCTCATTAGTTCCTGTAGCAACAACTCTTTGTCATTCATTCAACAAAAATTTATTGAGTCCCTGCCTTGTGCCAGATACTATTATAGGCACTGGGAATTCAGCAGTGAACTAAATGGGCAAAGACCCTCCCCCCCACCATGGAGCTCACAGCTCACACTCTGGGCATGGAGGAGAATCAAACAATGACCAAAATAAGTAAACAAATTATACCATGGATGCTAGAAGGTGATAAGAGCAAGGAAGAGAAATAAAACCTGGAAGAGAGATGGAGGATTCTGGGGGTAGGTACTAAATATTTAAATAAGGTGGTCAGTGTAGGCTTACTGTTAAGGTAACAGCTGAATAAAGACTTGGAAGAAGTGAGAGTGGTAAAATTGATGGAAAATAATTCCAGGCAGAGAGAACATCCAGTGCAAAAGGCCTGAGGGGGAAGGATGCCAGAGGTGTTCAAGAAACATCAGAAAAGCTTGTACGTATGGCTGGATGTGAGTGTGAGAGGACGAGAGTAATCAAGGAGGGTGGAAAAAGCATGCTCAAGACCTAGAAAGCGAGTCTAGATGAAATGGGAAGGCACTGAAGAAGTTTAAGCGCTGGAGTGAAATAATGTAAATAGGGTTTTCTCGAGATCGTGTTGGCTGCTGTGGTGCAAGTAGACCCTACGAGGGAGTGGTGGAAGTGGGAGGCCAGATAAGAGGATACTGCCGTGGAGAGAAGTGATGGTGGTTTGGACCAGCATGGGAACAGTGAAAGTGCTCATAACATTTTTCATCTTCTGTTACTGGTGCTATTTCCTCATTTGTATGTTATCATTCTCTTCCTAGATTGTTACAGTCTTGAATGTAGAGGGGAAAAAAGCACCTGTGTTTCCTTAGGCTCAACACGCAGACTTGTGCCTAATGAACTGAAAGATTGCAGAGAGAGAGAGAGAAAGAGAGAGAGGACACATATATGTGTAATGTATTTTAAAAGATATTTCAATTGAGGTACAATTTACAAACAATAAAATTCACCCATTTAAAATATACAGCTCAATTTTTTCAGTAAATTTATAGTTGTACAATCATTGCTACACTCCAATTTTAGAGCATTTTCATCACATTAAAAGAAAACTCTTGTGCCCATTTGCAGTCATTCCCTGTTCCTATGCTGAGTCCTAGGCAACCACTAGTTTAATTTCTGTAAATTTGTCTTTTCTGGACATTTCATGTCAATGGAATGATAAAACATGTGGTCTTTCGCATCTGGCTTTTTGAACTTAATGTAATGTTTATAAAATTCATGTATGTTCTAGCATGATTCATAAATGTCCATTGCTGAGCAGTATTCTGTTTTATGAATTTACCACATTTTGTTCACCTCTTCACCTAATTATGGATGTTGGCATTGTTTCTAGTCTAGCTATTATGAATAATGCTCTAAACTCTGGCATACAAGTCTTTTATGGATACATGTTTTTGTTTCTCTTGGGTAGATTCTTAGGAGTGTAATTGATGAGTCTTATAAATAGATTTATGTTGATCATTTTAAGAAACTGCTGAACTATTTTCCAAATTGTTACAATATCACTGGAAATGTACAGGTACTTCAAAAGGTTTGTGGCAAATGGAATTAGAAGGTAAGCATATTTTGGTGCAAAACTTTTGAGATCCAAATATAGTTTATTTCATAGTATGCATTTTCCATGTACTTTTTAAAAGTCCTCCATGTGAGGTTTGCAGTTTTTCCACACCTTCACTAACACTTGGTATTGTCTATTGATTGTCTTTTTTATTGTGGCCATTCTAGTAAGTATAAAGATATATCTCATTGCAATGATAATTAACATTTTCCTAATGACTAATGATAATGAGCAACTTTTCACGTATGTATTCCTGTTTCTTTAGTAAAATGCTTATTCAAATCTTTTGGCATTTTACAATAAATTGGTACCTTAATCTTGACTTTTAAAATATTCTTATAAATTCTAATTAAAGTCTTTCATGATATACACAATTTGCAATTTTTTCCTCCAATCTCTAGGCTGTCAGTTTATTTTATAATATTTTCTTTTCATTTATCCATGATGTCTTTTGAAGTACAAGAATTATTTTGGATTTCCACTTTCTGATTATTTTCTAGTGTATCATTCTTTTGACATTACATCTAAGAACCCTTGCCTAATGGAAGGTCAGAAAGATGTTATCTTGAATTTTCTGCTAGAACTTTCATAGGTTTACCTCTTATATTTAAGTGTATGATCACTGTTGACTTAATTTTTTTGTATGCGTGTGTGGCGTGTGATCTAACTTCATATTTTAGCATATAGATATCCATTTGACCCAGCACCATTGTTGAAGACTACTATTTCCCCATTGAATTATCTTGGCAACTTTGTAAAAAAAACCATTTGGCTATAAATGTAAGGAGTTTATCTCTGGACGCTCAGTTAAGTCCCATTGATCTTTATGTCTATCCTTATGCCATTAATACACTGACTTGATTATAGTAGCTTTGTAGTAAGTTCTGAATTAGGAAAGTGTACATGCTCTAATTCTTTTTCAAAATTGTTTTGGTTATTCTGTGTCCTGTATAAATTTTAAGATCATTTATCAATTTCTACTAAAAACCTTCTGGGATTTTGATGATAATTCCATTTACTTTATAGATCAATTTTGGAAAAATTGCTACCTTAATGATATTGAGTCTTCTAGTCCATAAACCTGAAATATATTTCTGTTTATATAGAACTCTTAAAAATTTGTCTCACCAATATTTTGTAGTTTTCAATATACAATTCTTTTACTTCTTTCGCTGAATTTACTTCTCAGTATTTTGTACATTTTGGGTGTTATTGTAAATGAAATTGTTTACTTAATTTCATTTTATGATTGTTCATTACTAGTATCTACAAATGTAATTACATTTTTTGTTTTGGTCTACTATCTTGCTGCCTTACTAAACTCATTTATTGATTCTATTTTATTCTATTAGCTTCTTTATATAGGATCATGTTGACTACAAGTAAAGATAGTTTTGTCTCTTCCTTTCAGTGCAAGTTCTTTATATTAGTCTTCTTGCCTGATTGCACTGATTAGAACCACCTGTATAAAGTTAGCTAACAGGGCAAGAGCATCCATTTTTATGTGGTTCCTAGTCTAGGCGAAGCATTCAACCTCTCATCATGTGGTATGATGATGACCTTAGCTGTAGGTTTTCCATAGATAACCTTTATCAGGTTAAAGAAGAAGTTGAGTGGTTTTAACAATAAATGGATGTTGGGTTTTTTCTTTGTAGCTATTCAGACAACAATGTGTGGTGGTTTTTTCCGTTATTCTATTAACATAATGTGTTATATTAATTGATTTTATGTATTGAATTGACCTTGCAATCCTGGGTTAAATCTCATTTGGTCATAGTGTATAATCCTTTATATGTATTTCTAGATTCAGTTTACTAGTGTTTTGTTGAGGATTTTTACTTGTGTATTTATGAAAGAGACTGATCTGTAGTTTTCTTAGGTTTTGTCTGTTTTTCATATCAAAGTAATATTGGCTTCAAAGAATGAGTTGGCAAGTATCCTCTCCTCTGTCTTCTAGAAGAATTTGAACAGAATTCATTATTTATTTCTTTTTTGAATTTTTGATAAAATTAATTAATGAAACCATTTGGGGCTGATCGTATTTTAGAGAGATTTTACATTTGTCAATATTGGTGGGAAAAAAAACACAACTAAAAGAGCTATTCCTTTGGTCTCTTAAAAATGCTTTTTATATAGACGCTTTCATTTTATTGTGATTTTGAAATATACATATACACTTCACCTGTCTACAAGTGAACATATCATCTGTCTAAAAACACAAATGGAAAACCAAGATAGAAGAGAAGAAGGACAGCCTTCCAGCACCCAAACTCAGGGCCTATTGTCCCTGTGTTTTACTTAAGAAGAAAGCACCACAGGATTTCGTGGAGAGTCTATTTGCTCTGACAGTGTCTTTTATGCTAACAGGTTTGCATACCTGGATCCTCATTTTGTGTTAGCTTAACATTTACATGTCACAATTTACAACAATGGTCTGAAGTCTGACTTCAAGGTCAATCAATGACCAGGAAGTGATTTACATAAATCTGAGAGGGAGGAGGTGTAAAAATTACAAAGAAGATAAATGAATTAAAAACTGAAAACAGTATGAGATCATTTACATTAGGTAAATACCTCAGTTGCCATTGTAGGTCTCCTATTGTAATAGATGGTTATAACCAAACAAATTGGAGACATCTAGAAAAGAGTAAATTATGATCATGAATAAACTGCAAGCCATTTAGAAAAGCCAGAGTAAGTTCCAGAATGATTCATCTATTAGGGATTCTAGATGGCCGGAAATTTACTAGATTACAAATGTGCAGAGTAGTCGGCTGACAGATTTGCATCGTCGCTGGTATTTTTATTTCCCTTTCTTGACAGTGTATAATCAGGGTAGAGTGAGGTCGCGGCACTGTTTGTTTGCTAGAGCTACCATAACAAGATACCAGAGGCTGAAGGGTTTAAAATGGCAGACATTCATTTTCCCATAGTTTTGGAGTCTAGAAGTCCAAGACCAAGGTGTCAGCAGGCTTGGTTTCTTCTAAGGCCTCCTTCCTTGACAAGTAGATGGCTAGCTTCTTACCTTATACTAACATTTTTGGTGTCTCTCTGGGTGTCTGCATTTCCTTATTTTTTAAAGATTTATTTATTTGAAAGGTAGAGCTACAGGCAGAGAGAGAGAGAGAGAGGGAGAGAGAGGGAGAGAGAGAGAGAGAATCTTTCATCTGCTGGTTTACTCTCCAAATGGCCACAACAGACAGGAATTGGCTAGACCGAAGCCAGGAGCCAGGAGCTTCTTCTGGATCTCCCACATGGGTGCAGGAGCGCAAGCACTTGGGCCATCTTCCAGTGATTTTCCAGGTGCAATAGCAGGGCGCTGTATCAGAAGAGAAGCAGCTGGGACTCGAACCAGTGCCCATATGGGGATGCCAGTGCCGCAGGTTGTTGCTTATTGTACTACATTACAGCACCGGCCCCGATTTCTTTATTTTCTAAAGTAATTATTTATTTGAGGGGCCAGCGCTGTGGCATGGTGGGTATAGCTGCCGCCTGCAGTGCCAGAAGTCCATAGGGGCATCATTTGAAGTCCTGACTGCTCCACTTCTGATCTGACTCTCTGCTATGGCCTGGGAAAGCAGTAGACGATGTTCCAAGTCCTTAGGCCCCTGCACCCACTTGGGAGACCCAGAGGAAGCTGCTGGCTCTTGTCTTCAGATTGGCCCAGCCCCGGCCATTGTGGCCATCTGGGGAGTGAACCAGGGATGGAAGACATGTCCCCCCCACCTTCCCCGCCTCTCTGTAACTCTGCCTTTCAAATAAATAAATATTTTTAAAAATAATTATTTGCGAGAGAGAGAGAGAGGAAGGAAGGAAGGAAGGAGGAAAGAAGGAAGAAGAAAAGGAAGGAAGGAAGGAAAAGAAAGAAAAAAGAAAGAGAAAGAGAGAAAGAAAGAGCGAAAGAAAGAAAGAAATAGAGAGAAAGAAAGAGAGAAAGAGAGAGAGAGAAAGAGAGAGAGAAAGAAAGAGAGAGAAAGAGAGAGAAAGAGAGAGAGAGAGAGAGAGAGAAAGAAAGAAAGAAAGAAAGAAAGAAAGAAAGAAAGAAAGAAAGAAAGAAAGAAAGAAAGAAAAGATTCCATCCACTGGTTCACTCTAACAAATGGCCACAATATCTAGAGCTATGCCAAGCTGAAGCCAGGAGCTGGGAACTCCATCCAGGTCTCCTATCTGGGTGGTTGGAGCCCAAATACTTGAGCCATCATCTGTTGCCTTCTCAGGTGCATTAGTAGGAAGCGTGGTTGTAAATGGAGCAGCCAAGGCTCCACCAGCACTCCAATATGGCATGCTGGCATCACAGGTGGCTGCCTAACCTACTGCACCACAATGTTGTCCCCCAGATATCCTCTTCCTAAACGCCCAGCCATCAGATTGGGTTAGAGTCTGCTCTAATAGCCTTATTTCAACTTAATCACCTCTTTTAAAGGCTCTCTGTAAATACAGTCAAAGTCTCTGCAAGCAGGGGTTAGAATTTCAATATACGAATTAGGGAAACACAATTCAACTTATACCAGGGGCTTATTGGAAGTTGGCAAGATTGCAAATACAAAGTGGGATGGGGCAGGAAAAATCTAACTATGTTCTCAGAGCCTTTGAAACCTACACTGGGGAGGGCAGTGCTGTGGCACAGTGGATAAAGCTGCTGCCTGCAGTGCTGGCATCCTGTATGGGCGTCAGTTCAAGTCCTGGCTGCTCCTCTTCTGGTCCAGCTTCCTGCTAATGCATCTGGAAAAGCAGCGGAGGATGGCCCAAGTACTTGGACCCCTGTATCCACGTGGGAGACCCAGAAGAAACTCCTGGCTCTGGATTGGCCTAGCTCCAGCTGTTGGGGCCATTTGGGGAGTGAATTAGCAGATGTAAGATCTCTAACTCTCTGTAACTCTGCCTTTAAGGAAATAAATAAATATTTTTTTTTTTCAAAAAAAACCAGAGCTACACTGGGTCTGTGGCTTACTGTACTGAGACTTCATAGCAACCCACAGTTTCTGATTTGAAAAAGATGCAGTTGAGTCTCCCTCCTCATATGAATATAAATACACATAACGTGGGGAAAGGGAGACATGGGGCTGCACTAGATGCAAAGAAACCGCTGTCTGGCAGAGGTCAGCGGGTATGCTGGGCACTCCATTCCTTAATTCCTCAATGGTAATGTGAAAAATGTTACATTTTCTATCATGCAGCAGAACTGGGAGACTTTCATGAAGAAACAGATAGGAAACATCTGGCACAAACCCGGTACTTACCAAACCAAGATTGTTTGGAGGCCAAGATCATGCACTTTCATCAGAAGCACGTGTAAGTACTTTAACTTGCCACCTGTTTTCCCTAAAAGAGACCACTAAAGCTTGGGACAGACTCTAAAAAGGCAAATAATCAAGTTTGAGAGGCTTCAGGTTCAAGAAAATGTTGAGCTTCTCATGGGGCCCTCAGGGGGGAAGTGTCATTCTTGCTGCATTTATTGGGCTCATAAATTCTTTCCCCTTGCAGTGGCAGGAGCCCAGCTGAGTCTGATATTCTGTTACTGGACATAGCAAGGAAGCTGGACATGTACGGCATCAGACCTCATCCTGCCAGTGATGGTGAAGGGATGCAGATTCACCTGGCTGTTGCTCACATGGGCGTACTGGTGTTACGGGTAACACGTTTTCCCTTTCAAGCGCTTCAGCTTGGGTGGGAGGTGGGTGGCTCAAACTGGGATGTTTATCCCCATGGTGATCCCCTCCTCAGTCTTACCTCCAGCCAGAGATGGAAATTATGCTTGCGAATGTCTGGAGTAAGCCCTCTCTCCTCAATGCGCTGCTTCTACGTGCAGTCTGAAATCGACTCTTGCCTCTGAGGCATTCACACATTAGGGCAATATGGTGGAGAGGCGAAATCTCCAGAGGCTCTTTGGAAAGTTCGATCCCTGGATTTGGGCATTGTAAAAGCTTAGACTGTGACACAAAGTGCATCTACTCTGTCCAGATTCTCCAGAGACAACACAAGGAGTAAAAAATGTAGTTCTTTTTGTTCCAGAGCCTGCTTTCAGGGGATTAGTGCCCAGCCCTGCCAGCAACTACTTTTATTTACTGGATCATTATTTTCCCAGGGCGTTGTTTTCCATGGTTAGAAACCAATTCAGGACTTTCTGGTCTTCCGTCATCAATAATGCCCACTCCAGGGAACTTTACCAGAAGCTATTTTTTTTTTATCAGTTTCTTAGCCTAGTAGATCTCCTCATGTCTCTGAACACTCGAATTTAGATCCAAGTTGAGGTTCAAGAACACTTGCCTAATCTTCAAAAAGATAAAAGAATGATGGACAGACACCTAGGCAGTTTTGTGACTAAACCACTTGTGAGAGAGGAAGGGATGACCTCAGGCCCACTAACTCCTTAGACCAAAGTAAGTCACAAAGTAGGGCAGCTATGAACTTGGCAAAGGGTTTTGGCCTTCTCATTTATTTGCTTGTAAATTTTTCAGTATGAGAATCACAATGGTGGGAAAAATACCTAATGGAGCACTTGTTCACCCAGGAGAGACTTGTTATCCAATTCCACTTGAACATTTTATTCTTGCCTTTTTATATTGCATGAGAGAGGATGGGGAGGGAAAGGCTTCTCCTCTTCCTCCCACTTTTGCAAGGCCATTATGTTGGCTGCGATTGCTTTCAGTGTGAATACTTCCGTGGACAGTTTGGAACAGTATTGCTGGTCTTTTTTATTATTTATTTATTTATTTATTTGAAAGTCAGAGTTACACAGTGAGAGGAGAGGCAGAGAGAGAGAGAGGTCTTCCATCCGCTGTTTCACTCCCCAGATGGCCGCAATGGCCGGAGCTGTGCTGATCCAAAGCCAGGAGCCAGGAGCTTCTTCCGAGTTTCCCACGTGGGCACAGGGGCCCAAGGACTTGGGTCATCTTGTACTGCTTTCCCAGGCCATAGCAGAGAACTGGATCGGAAGAGGAGCAGCCTGGACTAGAACCGGCACCCACATGAGATGCCACCGCTTCAGGCCAGGGTGTTAACCTGCTGCAACACAGCACTGACCCCCAACTGGTCTTAATTAGAGTATCTATTGTCCCTACCCCAAATCCAGTCAAAGAATACATACTTATGTATTGAATACTTTCTATGTGTTCTTCGTTGTGTTCTTTTAAAAACAGCTTTATTGAGATATAATTTACATACTGTAAAATTCACCTGTTTGAACTGTACAATTCAGTGGTTTGTAGTATGTTTCCAGAGGCGGGCAGCTATATACTCATTCATCCTTTTCGTCATTATGCTTCTTATGTACCCTTTCTGTGCCAGGCAGCAGAGCTACAGAGCTGAACAGGAATGATTCTGCCTTCATGGAACTAAAACTCTAATAGCGGGAACAAAGATACTTAAACGAATAATTCCAAACACATGTGATGTGCTTTGCGCGAGGAGAATGGGGGGAGGGGGTTGCTAAGGTGACACAAGTGATTGGGAGTTAACATTTAAGCTAAAACATGAGGAGGTTATTTTGGCCAAAGGGATATGATTGGGAGATAAAGAATGGTGTTCCAGAGACAGGGCAAACAGAAAATACCCTGAGAAGAATAAAGCATGACATAATAAAGAAATTAACATCAAACAGGAGACATGTGCCTGCCATTAAGATGATTATAGTCTATTTTGAAAGACCAGAGAAATAGTGATCAATATCAGACAGTAAGTAGTCAACAGCTAATCTGCCACATTTACTTGTAGTTGTCTGGCAAGTATACATGATAGAATGATAAATGTGGTTGCCTACAGGGAAAGGGAATATAGGGACAGAAGTAGGAGTGACAGTTGTGGGAATGAGACTTCTCAATAGTATATATCTTTTTGTGTACCTTTGATTTTTGGACCATGTAAATAGATAACCTATTGAACAAACAACAAAGAAACCAAAAGCTAAGCTTTGGAGGCAGATCAGGAGACCTGAAGGAGTTTAAGGGAGTTAGAAATGGGTATGGGCTACAGTAATTGGAATATCCTAGAAGAGGTGCTGTCAGAAGCAGCAAGAAGGTTTGACCATGTGGATGGCATGTGGGATAAAGACAATGAGGAGACTATAGGAGGGAAGGTGCAGAGTTGGACAAAATGGTGTTTTCTGAGAGCAGTGGGAAAACAAGTTGTATATTCAGTAGGGATAGGGCAGGGAAGTCCAGCCAAGATTTGATGATGCAGGCAGTGGGAAGCTATTGAAGGTGTTTGCAAAATGGGGGGCAGGAGAACTAGAGCATATTTTTTAGCAGTTGAATCAGCAAATATGGGAAAAAGATAAGATTGGAGAAGCTAGTGCAGTAACCCTTTCCCATTGTGAGCTCCCTTTCTTGGCAAGATCTTCTCCAGGTGTAGCCTTCCTTTTTTCTTCCTTCCTTCCTTCCTTCCTTCCTTCCTTCCTTCCTTCCTTCCTTCCTTCCTCCTTCCTTCCTCCCTCCCTCCCTCCCTCCTTCCCTCCCTCCCTCCCTCCTATCTTTCTTAAATCCAGCATTGCTCATTCACACTTTTATTGACCACCTACTAAGCACCAAGCCCCTCTTGGCTGCTCACTTAAGCACTGCTGTGCCTTCAGCCCTGGGAAGACATATCCTTTCTTGCTTGCAGTCCAGAGCAGCCTTCTATTCCACCTGAAATGCCTTCTTTAGCCATATCTTGTAATGAGTGCAGCAGGATCAATATGTATAAGAGACTGGTCCAAGATGGTCTCATTCTTGAAGTTAATTTGCTATTAGGTTTGCACTACCTTACAAACCGACTCATGCTGATATTCATTCATCAGCCATGTGTTTCATTATAGGGAAATACAAAGATCAATACTTTCAACTGGGCTAAAATTCGCAAGTTGAGTTTCAAGAGAAAGCATTTTCTCATCAAACTTCATGCCAATATCTTGGTAAGTAATTTTCTAATAAATTATTTTCCATTCTGTTCAGTTGGAATTTCTTGGTTGCTTCTGCAAATTGTTTGACTATGAGGGTAAAAGCTGACTGGTCCTTAGGGATGATGTGCCACCTCCTTTGCGTCTTCATAAATAAACCAGAGCTTTTGTCGTATTTTCACTAAAGGCAAAACATTAAGAAGTCAGCTTCGCAGTTCAGAGTGAATAAGGAATAGGAAAGTGGGGCAGCTGGCCTGAAAGACAAGTCTCCTTGAATACTATTTTGTCAGGGATTTGAGTCAAATGGGAGTAACTAGATCTAGGATTATGGACATATTAATTCCATATAGTCTGTTCCATTTTAGAGAGTATCTTCACTTACTTTCCTTAACAAAAATGATTGCTACCTACCACATGCCAAAGCCAAGCAGGATATGTGAGGTGACCATACATATAAACAAAAGAAGCCATTATTCAACAAGGCTGCGCTGTACAGGGTGAGACAAACGGGCTAGAAAGAATTTCTTTTATGACCATAAAAGCAATAAACACGTGTATGAACTAATTTTTGACCTATAGAAGATCCAGTTGTCTGGGTTTCCTTCTCTTGATCTGGGCCTTATGTAAAAATATCCTTTTGGGCCGTTCAGGAGACCAGATCCAATGTGGAGCTCATGGAAAGCCCCGCAGGCTGCATGTAGGAAGCTGGAGATGAATGGGAGAAAGGGTGGTCAGTGCATGGACTGGTGGGGCTGCTGAAAACTGGGCTACAAACATGCCATCTTAAAGGGGAGTATATTGTAAGTTAGGAGCTAGGGAAAATTTGAACTTTAGATCCGGAAGGCCAAGTTCCTCTAGGACAGATTAGAATATGCTAAGTGAGCAAGACATGGCATCATAAAACAAGGTAGCATATGGGGGAAGAAGAATTTCTAGCTAGCACACTAAAAAGACTCATATACATGTAATCATCCTCCAAACCACTGCATCCGTCAGGAAATCTCCCTCCCCTTTCCCGCTGGTCATTTATAACTTCTTGTCACCTTGAAAGGATGCCCTTTGATGTTCACTCTGACCTAATTTACAGCTTCATAAAAGTGTTTCTGGCAGAGAAGAGGAGTAAAAAAGTGTTGGAGGTGAGGGTGTGTGCAAAGCAAGATTAGCTTCTTAGAGAAGGATCTGTTTGCGAGCAGTGGCCTTGGCTGTTCCTTGGAAGATTGCCAATCATTTGGTTTCAGTAGGTGTGAAGCCTATGGGAAGCCAAGTGGAAAATCAAAAGCTGCATGGGCCCCTCAACCCATAGTTCGGAAGGCATTGGGATGTGAAGGTCTTTGATATTCTTGCAAGATGTTTTGCTTGATGGGAATTGGTTTATACAGGTGCTGTGCAAGGACACCTTGGAGTTTACCATGGCCAGCCGAGACGCGTGCAAGGCTTTCTGGAAGACTTGTGTGGAGTACCATGCTTTTTTCAGGCTTTCTGAAGAGCCCAAATCAAAGCCCAAAACCTTACTCTGCAGCAAGGGTTCTAGTTTCCGCTATAGGTAATTAAATAATTGCACACAGGCAAGCATACACATTGCTTCGTTTCAGTAACAAGCAGGGTGATAGGCGTTCAAATTCTAGAAGCAATAAAAAATCCATTTCAGTCATTTAAAAGGTAATGAGTTATACCTTTTACTATTTATTCTTTAGGTGACAGTTTCTTTACTGGGAGGCAGGAAAATGGGGGGACTTAAGGGTTAGATCAGAATCTCAGCAAGGTTGGGGGAACATATGCAGTTTGAGAAAATGTATTCCAGGAATCTGTTATTTCCCCTATATCCAACTTACACATAAGTCATGGAAAAGAAAACTTAGGCAAAAGATAGAGAAAAGATAGAGAAAGCACTAGATGGGATAAAAATGAAAAAGATTGTTTTATAAAGTAATAAAATTTATTTAAAAAATTGTATATATTTATGGGGTACCTTGTGGTGTTTTGTTACATGTATACATTGTATAATGTCTAACTGGTAAATATATTTATCTCTTCAAGAATTTAACAATTTCTTATAGTGAAAGAAATCAATATCCAATCTTCTCTGTTTCATTTTTTTTTTTTTTGACAGGCAGAGTTAGACAGTGAGAGAGAGAGACAGAGAGAAAGGTCTTCCTTTTTCCGTTGGTCCACCCCCCAAGTGGCCGCTACAGCCGGTGTGTTGCAGCCGGCGCACTGCGTCAATCCGAAGCCAGGAGCCAGGTGCTTCCTCCTGGTCTCCCAAGCCGGTGTAGGGCCCAGGGACCTGGGCCATCCTCCACTGCCTTCCCGGGCCACAACAGAGAGCTGGCCTGGAAGAGGGGCAACCGGGACAGAATCTGGCGCCCCAACCGGGACTAGAACTCGGGGTGCCGGCACTATAGGCAGAGGATTAACCTAGTGAGCCACGGTGCCGGCTCTGTTTCATATTTTTTTTAAAAACCATATTTATTTATTTTGAAAGTCATATTTACAGAGAGAGGAAGAGACAGATACAGACCTTCTATCTTCTGGTTCACTCCCCAGATGGCCGCAATGGCCAGTGCTGGGCCAGACCAAAGCCAAGAGCCAGGAGCCAGGAGCTTCATCCAGGTCTCTCAAATGGATAGCAGGGGCCCAAACCCTTGGGTCATCTTCTGCTGCTTTCTCTGTCCATTGACAGGGAACTGAATTGGAAGTGGAGCAGCCAGTTCACAAACTGACACCCATATTGAATGCCAGCATCTCAGGTGGCAGCTTTAGCTGTTCTGTCACAAACCTGGGCCCTTCAGGTTTCATTTTTAAATAGGGAAATATATAGTGCATTAAAAAGATTGAGCAGAGGTAGGCATTTACCCTAGCAGCTAGACCGCCGTAGAGATGTTTGTATTCCACGTTGTTGTACCTGAGCTTAAAGCCTGGCTCTGGCTCCTGACAGCAGCCTTCTGCTGATGCAGGACCTGATGGCTCAAGTGGTTAGAGCCCTGCTGCCCGCATGGGAGACCTGGATTGTGTTCCCAGCTCCTGGCTTTGGCCCTGCCCAGCCTGGGCCATTGCAGACACTTGGGGACTGAACTGGTAGATTGGCGATCTCTGCCTGTCTCTGCCTCTTAAATAAATAAATAAATAAATAAATAAATGTTAAAGATTGAGCAATGTTTGCCAGAGGCTCTTCACGACAGGTCACATCTCCACATCCTGGAGGAACAGAAGTGAGGTCAAAGTAAGATCTTGTTTTTACATGAGCACACAAGCGTAGGAATTCTTTGGAAAGGCATTTCAAAACTAAGAACATTTGAATCAAAGGCTTCTATTTAAGACATTTTTTCCAAGAGAAGCCTGCCCCAGTAAGAACTGAAATTTTCAATCTATGTGTTTCTGATGGAATCTTTCCAATGTATATTTTAAAAATCTCTGCCTTCGTAAACAGATGACACTGAGCATATTTTGCCCTTTTCATAATGACCAGAGTTTTTCTATACATCACTTATTATCCTCTACAGGCAGCTGTAATGTGGGGATGGCCTTGGGGCGGGAGAGGCATGTCAGATGCTGCACTTTAGTGATAAATGGCCCAGACTTTCTGGGTTTTATTATTCTCATGATTATTTATTTGTTTATTTATTTATTTCAGAAGGATTTACTTAGACTCTTGTATTTTTCCCAGCAGTGAGCTGGCTTTCTCTACTAGTGTATGCCTGACTGAAGCAATCTCCTTCTACTGTTTAGTTTGATGTTTTTTTTTTCCTTCTGCCATGAGTTGGGACAACAGATAAACAGCCTCATTAGAAGCTGTGTGTAAAATTAAGAATCAACAGTTGATTTAGAGGGAGGGGAAAGAATTTTAAAGGAAAGTATATTGTTTTTTAAGCCCAGAATTTCTGAGACTTTAAACAATTTTCTGTTGATTGCTCTATTCCTCGTTTATGGGTGGGTGAGTTTTACCATTAATGTGATGGTTCAAGTTTCACAACATATGTCATTCATTCGTACTCTTGGTTTCAACAACAAACGAGGCTTTTGAACTTTTAGTAACCGATTGAATGATAACTGGAATGAATGATTTTTATCTTATCTTCAATACTAGTGGAAGAACCCAAAGGCAACTTTTGGAATATGGGAAAAAAGGGAGGTTGAAGAGCTTGCCATTTGAAAGGTACTGGCTTTTTTTTTTTAAGATTTATTTATTTATTTAAAAGACAGAGTTATACAGAGAGAGAAGGAGAGGCAGAGAGAGAGAGAAAGAGAGAGAGAGAGAGAAAGAGAGGGAGAGAGAGATGTCCTCTATCCACTGGTTCACTCCCCAATTGGCTTCAAAGGCTGGAGCTGCGCCAACCCGAAGCCAGGAACTTCTTCCGGGTCTCCCACGCAGGTGCAGGGGCCCAAGGACTTGGGCCATCTTCCACTGCTTTCCCAGGCCACAGCAGAGCTGGATCGGAAGTGGAGCAGCCAGGTCTCAAACCGGCGCCCATATGGGATGCCGGCACTGCAGGCGGCAGCTTTACCCGCTATGCCACAGCGCCGGCCCCAGTACTGGCTTTCATTTCTCTCTCTCTCTCTCACTGATTTTAAGCTGAATCTAGATATGTACCGTGTATGCTAGTTTTCATGTGAAGGCCACTTCAATGTCTTCTCTGTTTGGGGATTTCAGGAAACATTACCCATCTCAGCACCATGAACGGCAGTGCAGGTCCTCACCAGACATCCTCTCTGATGTGTCGAAACAAGTAAGCTTTCTGAAAATTCCTGTTTCATTAGCTAAATGGGAAATTCATCCAAATTTCAAATGCTTCCAAGAATTGATTCTGCCAGAATCTCCCAGGATGTAAAAAGGTTAGTCTGTATGAGTAGGTTAGTCTCCTGGGAGGGTCTGTCAGCTCAGACCTTCCTGCCAATAGAACATGTAGTAAACTACTTGTAGACCAGAGGGAACTGGCACATCTTCACATTGCAACCCGTATTGCTAACATCTTGCAAAGTGCAACAATCCAAGTGAATTTCCCTCGTTATGTATTTTTTAAACTAAAAGCTCTCCTCTTTTGCCTACAAAAATCTTAAGGCTTTAGAGAAAGGTATAGTCTTGGGTTGAGGTTTTACAGCATTTTTGCCATGTCATTTTTTAACTCAAGGAGGAAGTGTTGTTCCCCTGGAACTGTGAGGTGATGGTGGCTTTATTTGGGCTATGAACCTTGTTAATTATTTTTCTTTGGCTCTTTCTAAAATATTAATTATAGGTCTCAAACTTTCATGCTTTCATTCAAGGTCACAGGCAGTTTTTATCTAAAAGGCATCAGAGGTAAAATGATGAAAGGTACCATCTAGTATGTGAACCTACTCTCCTCCCCACCGTTTTATGTAGAAAAGGGAGGAGGCTGGAACAGGGACGCTTTGAGACTTGCCTAAGGTCACACAGCGAGTCAGACAGAGCCAGGACTAGCAGGCAAGACTGCTAGTTCATCCACGTAACTACTAAATCAATGCTCCCTGAAGTACAGAGACTCAGAGGCTGGAAGTGGAATGGCATTGGGAAAGAAGAATGTCACATGTACTTTGCCTTTTAGTTTGAAAATTTTTAATTGACAATATGATATTTCAATATATGTGTACAATGTGTAAATTATCAGATCAGTGTCACTGGCATATAGAGCACCTCAGACATTTACAAGTAGCATTTCTGTGTGTTGGGAACATTCAAAAGCCACTTTTCACATGTACTTTTTTTAAAGAGATTTATTTATTTATTTATTTATTTGAAAGTCAGAGTTACACAGAGAGAGAAGGAGAGGCAGAGACGGGGGAGGGTCTTCCATCCACTGGTTCACTCCCCAATTGGCCGGAACGGCTGGAGCTGTGCTGATCCGAAGCCAGGAGCCAGGAGCTTCTTCCGAGTCTCCCACATGGGTGCAGGGGCCCAAGGACTTGGGCCATCTTCCACTGCCCTTCCAGGCCATAGCAGAGAGCTGGATCTGAAGTGGAGCAGCCGGGATACGAATCAGTGCCCATATGGGATGCTGGCACTGCAGGCGGTGGCTTTACCTGCTACGCCACAGCGCTGGCCCCAACTTTTCACATGTACATTTAAGCACACAAGTTGGGACATGGTACAAGTTATTACCCTTTCCATATCTATTTATCAACCCTGGGATAGAATATGCATTGAAATGACTTTGTACCGTCTACCTTGTTGACATTTGAAGCTACCGTAGATCTCTGCTCTCACCCTAAGGAAACGGCTTCTTCCTTCTTTCACCCTTGTGTCCTTTCTCTCAAGGTGGAAGACTTGAGACTAGCATGCGGCGGGGGGTACTACCGGAATGTGAATGGGGTGCACGCATCGGAGCCTGTGCTGGATAGCAGGAGGAGGAACTCGGCTGTGGAGGTGACGTTTGCAGCTGAGCTGGAGCGTTCCAAGCCAGAGGCAGATACCACATCCTTACATCAGTCCCAAAGCACTTCCTCATTCCCTTTCATGTATACAGACCCTGTCTTTAACACTGACCCTGATCCCAGAGACTTCTTTGAGGAGAGGAGTCCTCTCAGTTCCTTTCAGACCAGCTCCAAGTTTGCCGACAACCACATGAGCGCATCTTCTGGGCTCCCAACTAAAGTGAGTTCAGCAAGGCAGCTAACTTACACAGATGTGCCCTATATTCCTTGCACGGGTCAGCAGGTTGATATTATGCCTCCCCAAGTCTTTTTTTATGTGGACAAGCCACCCCAGGTGCCCAGACGGTCTCCAATCATGGCACAGGAAAGGTCAAGGCCAGAAAGCTGTAAAGAGCCCACTGCCATGAAGCCAGTCAAAAGAAGTCCCAGGAGCATCAGACTGAAGAGCTTTCAGCAAGACCTCCAAGAACTCCAAGAAGCTATGGCCAGGACTAGTGGTAGGAGTAACATCAGCGTAGATCTAGAAGAGGAAGACCCACATTTAGAAGATGCATTTGCATGTAACATTCAAGAGCAAACCCCTAAACGGTCCCAGAGCCAATCAGATATGAAAACCATCCGTTTTCCTTTTGGGTCGGAATTTAGACCTTTAGGGCCTTGTCCTGCTCTGAGCCGTAAAGCAGACTTGTTTACCTATATGTTTGCTGATCAGGAACTGCCAACAGTGCTAATGGATCAAAGTACAGCAGAAAGGTATGTAGCCAGTGAATCCAGTGATTCTGAATCAGAGATTCTTAAACCAGACTACTACTCTTTGTATGGCAAGGGGATAAGGTCACCCATGGCCAGAATCCGCCTGTCTTCTGGCAGCCTACAGCTTGATGAAGAAGATGAAGATGTATCTGTCAACATCCCAACTGCTGAAGACAGGACTTTGCTAGAATCATGTAATTACTTTTTAGCTTAGAAGTTGACCTCTGAACATTTTAAAGCCAATTCCATGTTGTCAGCTTAAGAAAAAAAAATGGGAACTTTTATTTAAACCATTTTCTTAGCTGCTATTCATTGGTGTTAAGGGACTATTCTGATTTGGGGCACCTAGCTTATGACAACTCCAGCTGTTGCCTCATTGCCTGAGCTTCACTCTTCTGTGCCACCCGAATGGACTCTGGAACATGCCCTTTCGTCTCCAGCAACCGTGGTGGGGGAAGGGGAACATTTGTCATCCTCATTATACATGTCCTTGTAGAGACGTTTCAAATGAAAGGTGAGCTCTTCCATGCTGAAGAATAGTGATGGTATGGGTTGGCATATGCAATTAGCGTCTAAAAACACTGTGTGATTTAGAGGATTGTGACTGTGTTGATTATTTGCTTCTTAAATGATACTGAACAACGTTTTCAGCCCTCATTATTTGTCTAGGGCCCAGTAAAAAATGGTCTTACATGTCAAGGAATTCAATTTTTATAACATGTGTAGGTGAGCATGGCCCCTTATAGCCTCAGGGATGAGTTGGTGGCATAGATACTCTCAACAGAACACACATTTACAATTAACCCAGGACATTCAGGAATTACATCAATTTCTAAACCCAAGGAATTCATGAATCATAATAATTTCTAAAGCCAGCTATATACCTGAAGAGGACACTATGATGTTTAACTTAAAACTTCTCTGTTCTTAATTATTACATGTTAGTGAATGGCAAAAGTAACATGGCAGCTTATCTACTCCCTCCTGCCAGAATTTGTGGTGTTTTTTTTTCCCAAATCTTGTTGCATGTATGTAGGCAGGGAAATGAAAGGAATGTTATTTTAATAAATAGTAGAAAACTCCATTTAATTAAAAATAAGTTATGAGTATGGTTAGTTTCAGAAGTGATTGGTTCGGTTCTACTAGTAAGGAAATGGCCAGTTACAGAACACACAATAAAAGGAGGGAGTCAAAAGAAAATGTATAGTCAGGAGTGGAGAATTATAGGATTAAATTATAGCTAAAAAGAAAAAGGATAGTACTGCCACCAGAGTAAATTAAGGAATCAACGTTGTTTCTTAGCCCATTCAGAATTTTTCTACTAGCCCTCCTGGAAGGTATCATATTGTATTTGAGAACTTTGTTTATTGCTTTTAATGATAAGTATAATATATTTATAAGATAATGTTAAGTACTAACTTCAAAGAAGTGATGTAACTATATGGGCAAACTGTTGTTATGTATAACTTAATGGAGAAAAGATGGATGGAATAGTTTCTTTACTCTTTCTAGTCCTCACATCATGAAAATCAGTTTTCATATACCTCGTTCCACCCCTTTCCTACATTCTAGTACTTTCTTCTCTGATCCTGAATTCATTTCCTGTAACTCACAAATCTAGAGTAGCTATTTAATCATAGGAATATACTGACTCCCAATCACCTATAATCTTATAGATCCCTGAAGCTATATTCAAGTCATCCTCAACCTTTACTCTAGAAAAAGCTGAAACTCCGTCATGCTATATGCTGTTTCTCTTCTCAAATTCTGGAAGTCTTTGTTGAACTTATGTTTTCTTCAGAGATCTGTAGGTCTCAAATCGTATATGATCTTCTAATAAAACAGTAATTAAGGTGACTATTGAACTTATTGTCTAACCCAGGGCACTTTTGAGTCAAAGGGGATTTTATTGATAATGTTGTCAAGATAGAAGGCAGAAACTGGGGTAGATGTCAGTATCTCCTATAAATGTGAAGAGAATCTTCAAATTTCCAACAGAAACTGTGGTTTGATTATTCCGACAATTAAGGGCATAGGAGAAATATGTTGAAACAAAATAGAACATCCCCCAAGTAAGCAAACACTGAGGACCATGAAATTTAAATATTTATTTTTAAAACCCCCAAAACACTGGAATATGTTTCACATACAAACAGTGTACAGGACAAATGACTATAATGACAAAGCAATAAAATTTGCATCTGTGATGCTGTTTTTTTATTTTTTCCATTGAACAATTTTTGTAAAATTGAGGTGTATAGTTAAAGGCATGACTGAATCTGATAATATCAATCATCATGGAGAAATACAGGTGTATGCATTATGTGCACCTGTCTTCTACTGAACATGTCAATGAAAACACAAACTTTGTGGTGGAACTGTGAAGAGTTCCCCATGGAGACACCACACATTTGACCAGAACCTTGAGTAGAGGGAGTGTTGTAAAGTTTCAAATAATCAATTCATAAATCTGCTGCTTTTACTTTTACAAAAGTTCATTGAATCCATAATATGTATTGCCAAATTATTTCTGGCCCTCCATAGATTATAAACTGTAATTGGGTTTCAGTTACAGAGTAGGTAAAAATTGAATGGAACCACTATTTTGAAATACAGTTTAGGCCAATGAAAAGAATTTTCTGGGCATATGATGTAACAACTTTCTCATGTCTATTATTGTTTTTTTTAAAAGGGGGATATAATGGCTAATTTTCTTAAAAACTACTCGTTACTTGAAGAACATCTTTCTTCTGATATTTGGCAATTATTCAGATTTTCTTAAAAAATTACTTGTGCAAAAATCAAATTGTGCAGACCCAAACAATAAAACACTAGCCATCAAAACTAATTAATAGCAACAATCCTACAACTACTGAAATATAGCCCCAGTTCACAACTCAGGCAGGCATAATATATATACCGGGCTTAACAGAAAAAATGTATTACCCACTTAACAGTACCATAAATATAACTGAAAATTAACTGTACAGTCTATCTTTGTGTGGACAGAAATTGTCCTGTACTATGGTTATTTTCATATGAACTAGAAAATGTTCATTTAAATATCCTTTCAAAAATGATGCTTATGTACTGATAATTATGAAGAACAAAAATGTATAAATAGTTTATAGGACAATTTAATAAAATGAAACATGTATGCTGGTGTAAGTTATACCCGTTGATCAAGTGCTTAATCACATGACAATCAGCTTTATGTAAGCTCTCTAAATTCAAGCATATACCATGCAGTTTGAGCTGAAGAGTTTAAAAATGAAGGCAGACAAAATCTTCCAGTATTACCAAAACCCCGTTCTTGGCTAAGTGATATTGCTTTGAACTCCTAACCATTAACCATAAGGGTCAACTGCCTCTTCGATCTAAAAGAGAAGGTCAATACTGCACACCACAAGATACCTCCGTTGCTACACATTGCCTAAAAATGCTTCAAACACAGGGCTCTCAAATGTGATAATCATTGAGCTGCCTGTAATTCATACCAACTTGGTAAAAGAGTCAATACTTTTTCAGGTTTCGTTGCCAAGAGCTTATTAAAAACTTGTGTTTTAAGAAGGTATGACTGATTTCCACCTCATCACCAATAGGCATTTTTAGAATATGCTTGTGTTGAAAAATAAATGGTTTTTTGAAGCCTGATGATTTATAAAAGTTGAATATTCAGGATAACTTTGAAAGACCTGCATATTTCATGAGTGTACAGTTAACTAAAGATCAAAACATGAACGGTATTCAACCTAGTAACTTAAGAAATAATGATACCTAAAAGCAACACTGTATCTCAACATTTACTAGAATACAGGTGAAACTATAGTATTAAAAGTTACTCCTTACAAAATAATCTCTTTAAAATATAAAATGATAAACACCATCACAAAATAGTCGAATAGCTTCTTCCAAATCTTCAAAGTCGCAAAGATCCAAAGGCACACGGAGCTCATGAATTAAGCATTGTTAAGCTTGAAGTAGCTTTGGTGGGTTTCTCTGGGTCCATATGAAACAGAAACCAACAATGAGTTCCCTAGGGTGATTCATCTGCTGAACACCTATAAAATTGAGAGAAAAACTTCAATTGATGTATAACTATGCTGCATGTTTGTATTGAGGAAATGATTCAACAAACAAGAGAAATTGTTTCTCTTCAAACTTATTGTGTAGATGTCAAAATAAAAGTAAGTTCAAAAATCCCTGCTGCCTCTGATTTCACAACTTCCAATGGCTTTGTTGGCAAATTGGAAAACAGATGGGAGTTTTCCACTGAAATCGAAGGGACTTTAAAAGGGGCTTTAGTTTATGAGTACAAGTTGGCTGTATCAGAAAAAAAGGATCTTTAAAAGTGTGTGATTTTACAGACCATATGATTTGTTTCATCTTGATCCCAGCGGCGTCATAAATAGGTTTAGTATCCCAGATCCAAAATGCTTGCACCAGAAGTGTTTCAGATTTTGGAGCTCTGTGGATCTTTGAATATTTGCATAGACTGTACCATTGGAGCATCCCTAATCTAAAAATCTGAAATTTGAAACTTGCTAAGTGGCATGTTGCCACTCAAAAAGTTTGGGATCTTGGAGCATTTTGGATTTTCAGGAGAGGGATGCCCAACCTGTACAGAGAACTATGAAGATGCATGGAGAAGAGAGAAAATGGGGTTAAGGAAGCTTGCTTTAGCTAAGAAGTATGTGTGTGTATGCGTGGAAAAGTCTTAAATGTACGAACTTTTTTAAATGTGAGCAAAATCAAGAGAAGAGAAACTGAAGTTAAACATAACGGCCTTATATCATTTGGAGTCAGTTCCTCTACCTAAAATCCTTTATTTAACTTTTCATATGGGGGTCAAACTTAGGAATGTTAGCGCTGACAACTGTGAATAATGGTGTTCCTGCAAAGGCTGAGGGTAGTGGCAAGAATGAAAACATTCCTAAATGATGTTTTACAAGGGCCCAAATAAGAACATGCTTAGTGACCTTTTTTCCAACTCTTACTAGCAGAGAAAAGAAAAGAGAGCAAATGGCCATTTCATTCAGTGGAAAATTACCTTGTCATGCCTAAAGAGAATAATTCCAAAAACTAATGTTTAGCTGGGCAGTGAATAAAACACTTTACACACTCACATCTACTAAACAGTGATCCTGTTAGCAACAAATGGAATGGTTGAATCAAAGTTATACTGCATCATAAATTAACATGCCACAAAAATGTCACGATAATTTTTAAATGGCATTTCAAGCTTACTTCTGAAATTTCTCGATTAATTTCTTCACCATTTTATCTGTGATGCCAGGGCAGGCAGCTTCAGCCACAGCGATACTTTTCTCGAGTTCTTCAATGGCCTGATTCCTGCTAGCATTATTCTCATCCTGCTGTTTAAGCTGAGAAAGATGGGCGGTTATAACATTTAAACTACTATACTACTACTTAACGTAGGCATTCAATGCTAGAGAACCTGCACTTACTTCAGCAAACGCGGGTGTGATTATCATAGACAAACAGCTCAGGGTTTGTACAAGATCTTGCTCCTTTGAATAAATAATATAAGGTTATATCCATGAAATGAAAAGATGGATTCGTATTTTTCTTCGTTATTCTATAGCAAATGTGCACTAATTTGAGGCTCCTCCAAAAGCCCCAACAAAAGTCAAGTCCCTATGCCTTCTGCTGATCCACCATCCAGAAGGCCTCTATCTTCCGGGGCTACATCAGATTTGCCAATTCCCCAGGCTTAGGCATCTGTTAAGTGAAATACATTTAAAATACACAAATGGCCACCTTAACGACTTCTACCTTTTCTCAATTAGCTGCAAACTAACGGCAAACGAAGCACACTGTGTATATTGCAAGGCAGACGGTCATTCTAATACTTTTTGGCCAAAAAGGGGAAGCGATCACCCCCACATACGTACTGCCCCATTTTGCAGTTTCTTTGGGTCAGGCTTCTTGCGCACAGTGGTGAAGCTCCATTCAGGATGAGGATTATTTTCCCTGCTGGTGGATTCCCTAAAGAAATCGCCAAAGATACCTCCATAAATTTCAAAATAATGAAATGTGGTGAAAACTTCAAATGAATGTAGGCAGACTTGGAAGAGATCATTGTCCCACTGTTTCCATGATGTCAGTTTCAGGTGGATACTGCATCCTACCACAGACTAGCAGAAGTTCTCAACGCCAAACGTGCAGTTTGTGCGCATTCTGAGTCCCACACGGAGACTTCCTACATCTGTAACTATGTTTCCCATTGCTCCCACTCACTAATCTGGATGTCCAGCAGCAGGACTTGTGATGTTTTTTAAGGCCCCATGGGTAACTCTCATGAGCAGCTAAGGCTAACAGCCAGAAGAACAAGCTACAGACTCTTCTGGTATTTTCCCCTCATTTTCAAGTGTTGGGTAATATCTCATAAATGCAAGAATCTGAGAGTATACTCGAAAGCAGTTTGGTGCTGCCTTTGTACCAGTTCCCTGGTGGTGGAATAACAGGCTTTCCTAGTTTGAGGCTGCATTGTTAATGAAAATGCTGCTATTAAAAAAATAACACCATTTTTGCAAGGGGCAAAATTCATACATAAATGAATATTTAAATGTACCAATCTGATGACGTTTGCAATGTAGCGACGAGGCGAGAAAGGCCTGGAGGTCAGTTCTCTACGGGGATTTACAGATTGCCACCAATGTAGGAGAAGACATAGTTCCTTATTAGTTTGGGCCAACTTATGTAACACCTTTAATCAAATTCTGTTCCAAAATTTTGTAATATACTCATGTATCCACTAGGGGTTAGACTGAGACCATTTAAAACTAGAACCATTCACTTCCAAGAAAAACATATTTCCAAATTCAATGTATTCCACATACTGTGACTGAAAAAAGACTTTCATAGCTGCTAAAGTAAAACCTCAGAACACAGTTGATATTTTATGGTAGAGCAAGCGCACTGGATTATAGCTAAAACATGCAGCATTAAAACGGGCTACCTACATAAAAATTAAATCAATTGTACATACGAGTCAGAGCCCTCGGAATCAGACTCATCATCACTGTGTCCTTCTGCCTTCCATCTCTTAAATCGATCTATCAGTTCAGTGAGGTAAGAAGTCTTCTTCGAATTTTTTACAATGAATTTGTGTTTCAGAAGTTCTTTAGCTGTAGGACGCTATGGAAAAAATATCAAGGGTGCAGGATTATTTCTTGGCTTTTTATGACTGTAAAAGAGGTAAAAACAAACTCATTAAGCTAAAAGATGTAATAGTATGTCTAAAGATATAACAACTAAAAAGCTGGAAGAAAGTGGCTAATTCTATTATTTTAAAAACACTCTTTTAAAATTCTTTTAATAATTTAAATTTACTTGTCTTCATCTATTTGAAAGGTAGAGACAGAGAGAGACAGAGAGACAGAGAGAGATCTTACATCTACTGGTTACTGCCCCCAAATGCTGGCAACATCCAGGGCTGGGCCATGCAGAGAGCCAGGAACTGGGAGCTCTATCTGGGTCTCCCAAGTGGGTAACAAGGGCCCGAACACCTGAGCCACCACCTGGTACCTCCCAAGATGCATTAGGCGGAAGCTGGGTAGGAGGCACACTTGTGGGGACTTGGACTGGCACTCCAACATGCCCTGTGAGTGTCTCAAGCGGCAGCTTAACCAGCTGCACTGCAACACCTGCCCTGCTAATTCTATGCTTGAAGTGGCTCAAGGCATTCAAATTAAATTCACTACTTTGGTATGACAATTTGTCTAAAACCCAATGGGTAGAAGGTGGCCAAGCTAACAAACCAGGGATTTCTCAAAAGTAGAACAATACATGTAAAAAATAATGCTTTAAACTACTTTTAATAAGTTTACTGTAAATTCAGAAAAAAAATTTATGAAAACAAGGCTATCCTGTTGTGTTCATCTGTACAGATCTTATAATCCAGTTTCCATCATCCATCAAATGCTAATGCATCTAAATGCAAACACCAGGCACTGGGAAGGGGGGGGCGCTTTATCCCCACCAGCATTTTATTAATATCAGAATGTTTGTTATCAACTTAAAGATGGTTATATCAAGCTTA